ATTGAAAACTCAAGCTAGCGGAGGCAAACCCTTTTGGAAGATTTGGATAATTTAGACTCTCAAAAGTCACTTTCATTCGATTCGCGAATTCATGCGTCTGTCAAAAAAAAGTAAAAAACAGTTACCTTCTGGGGCAATCACTTTCCATTCACAAATTACTTTTCCGGAACTTGCCGATTTGGCTGTTTGACTGCATGATGGTTAAAGATTTTCCGGTTCTTTCCGGTTGACAGTTCAACACGCCCGGCCTTCACGTTTAAAATGTTCTACCGTGATTTTTCCGTGCCCAAATATCCCCAATTTTAGTAATCTCATCAGACTGCCTAGTTCAAAATTACAGACGTTCCCTACATTTTCTCGGGTCAAAAATTTGTCTTTTGTTAACTTTAGTAAATTCAATCATGTGATTACCGTAAAAACTCGGGCAATTTCTGCGTTGTAGCTCAAGGTTTAAAAATGCCAATTTCATGTCGTAGGGCAACGTTCAAAAAAGGACAATTGTCGTAGATGCTGATCTATCAGATAACTGTAAGGAATCCGCAGGTTTGATCTGAAAGCTCCAGTCCGACTCCGACAACCTGTTGATCAAGCCCTCGCTATGAAAATGACGTGTGGTTCCACGCTCTTTCTGCTCTCATGCTCCCCCACTGTTCGCCAAAAATTGGCACCCTCCACCCGAAATTTCGCCAATAATGGTCCCCGCGTGAAAAACCTATAAAACCTAGATGCGAATTCGAATTGCACACATTTGATGCAGGCTTTTTAACTGGTTCCCAACTCGGATTCAATAGTTTTTTAAATTGGCGCAAAAATTGGGTTATATATTTTTAGTACCTCAATTTCCAAGACTACAAGATTTAAAGGGACTAGGAAAGCAAAGCCTAGAATTCTATCTGATGTTGGGCTGATAGCTCACTTAACTAAGGTATTTTACTACTACATACGAAAAAAACCTGATCAGGCCATCGGCTAGTATTTTTGCGCATTAATGATAGTCTTGTTTAAAGCACGATCGAAGCCAAGTCTATTGGATTGTATCATTAATTGAAGCTGATTAGAGCTTCAAACCATGTGAATTTCACGACCTAAACCCAATAGCCTAAACCCGTTTTCGCGTTCTTCAAAGATTGCCTGCGTCGAGCGGGCAAAAGCCGAAACAGATCAACACTGCCATTTGCCGAATTTATTCGCCCCATTGCGTCAAAAGGCTGCTATAAAAACGATTTTTGGCTGCCCTCTGATCTCGTCATCCTCGGATGTCAATTGTTCCTTGTTAGTATGCGCATAACCAAAAGTTATATGTATAAAGCTCACGAGGTTTCTAGGGACTGGTAAAATTCCCCAAAGAAGCTAGCTTTTCATGCCATGGTAGCGGTCAGAATTAAAGGGACCAGGAAGGTAAAGATTCATATCAAACGGGAGTTGACATAGAAATTCGTCTTCTTTCTCCGTTTCTTTCTTGAGCCGGCCCTCTCCGCGAATTTTTATGATTTCCAGACTACAGAAAACGAAAACGCCTTTAAGATCCGGACATAAAAATTCCTTCAAAAGCCCGTTGGCCAAAATCCCGAAATGTAAAAGTCGTTCAAAATATGGGTGTGTTTAAATCGAATTGTGAAAAGATATTTAAATTTCGATAAATTGGCGTTTCGACCAAATGGAATTTCTACAAACTGATCAGGGAAATTTCGTGAAAACGAAATTTCGGAGAAAATTATTTCGACAAAATCCTTGACATGCTTTCTAGAATTTTCCCGATGCTTCGAGAGCACAGAACCTGCAAAGACTGAAAATATATCATAGAAAGTTTATTGATATAAAAGAGAGAATGGGGTGACGCGAGGGTGTCATTTTCTATGCCGGCTGAGCGTGTGAGCGTGAGATGAAATGAGCATCAACATTCAACTCACCGGCCCTTTATTTTCGTTGACAATCACCCCAACTTCCCCGCTCGCTATTTTGCGGCCATACGGGTTTCCGCTTGCCGTTCGGCGAGTAACACCCCCGGTGATGTCGATTATAATTTATCACCCGGACTACCGTAGCCGCCACAATTTTGCAAATCCTTTCCTGCTGTTCCGACCGCCGTTATAAGTCGCTATTTTTATGCGTTTCCGTGCAATTGCTTGCTCTTTTTCTTTTGAAATATTACCTTGTTTTGGAAACACTGGAATTATTATCGAACAGATTTGATTTTTTTTGGATCAGGCATTAATGGGATCAGATTTACTTTCATTAATGCCTTCATATCCAATTTTTGTTACGACTAAAATGGGACTCAATAAAGAAAAAAATTCGGATTTTTCTGGTTTAGAGATTATAACGACACTTTCCGAATACGGTGGCCACAAATTTTACTAAGTCTGACTTTATCGGCTGTTCCGGGCTGCCATTTATTCGTTTCGGACATTTTTGTAAATCTCTATGTGGTTGAAAATGGACCTGATTAGCTTGGCGCATTAACGAGAGCCAGTTTTCATAATGACCCCCATCTACCTCCCATTAATGCGTTGCCATACACAATCCCTAATTCCATCCAATCCCGATAGATCGATAAAAAAACATACAATTCAGATTTTGAAACAAAACTATATGCGTGTTTTGATGCATTTCAAAAGTATTGCTGTCAAGTTTCAATTTTTCTGATTCACCTCGTTTGTAAAGGAATACCAGCTTTTCCGTTCCTGTAATTTCAATAGGGCAAAGTTACTTTGAGTGTTATTATTCGACTGGTTCCTTATTGTCCTTTATACAAAAAGCAGCAAAACAACCTTTTCTTTCAGAGACAATTGTCGCGCGCTTGGCAAATTAGCATTTTCAATGCTTTTTTGCTTTATTTGCTTTTTTTCAATGCTTTATTTGCTTTTGTAGCGGATAGCCGAGTTGCTCAGAAGCGGTATCGAATCAGCCTAGCTTTGTGAGGCGAATTGTCGATTTTTTTGTCTGCCTTACTATCTAGTGTATCTACAAGCCCAGACCGATACTAAACTCTGTTTCGTAGCTCTTTTGAGCCTAGCTCCCCCTCAAACAAACAACAGATCCACATTTCCCTCCCTGCCATTCCCAATATTTTTGCGGAGGTCAAAAATTTCGCCCAAAACACAACGCGCTGACATCACTCGGCCTCCCTCCCCAAATGACTAACCGAAATTCGGCTCAGATTCGGCGTGCAATTGGCGGAGAAAGGGGAAGATCGAGAGATCCCTGGTTTTAAAAGGATACGAAAAGTGAACCTCAGGACCGTTGTTTTTAGAAGGTGGGCGGGGACAATCTTTCGTTGTGTACTGTAAGGCGCGGGTGCTCGGCGAATTCACATGAAAAATTCATTGTAGTACTGGCGGTGAACATTTGATACCTGGGCAGTCGAGCATATTTGTAATTTTCGTCCAGTTCACGCAAGAGATCTTGGCTTTAGTAGTTCTTTAACTAGCCCGTTATAGCAGAATTTTTGTGACCTTTACTTGAACTTGACTTGACCGATTAGCGGCACCTTCGTTTCTCGTCTTACCTGTCAGGTTGCGTGCCGCGTCCGAAGTTGCGCCACATCCTAAAAAATATCCTTATTCGGACTTTCCGGGGAAGGCTTCACTATGAGGTTCTGGGTCTGCAAATCCGAGGAATTGGTGCGCGGCCGCGACACGCTGCGCGCGACGCCGAGTGAATACCAAGCTCTTTGGTGGCGGTCGAGAGACGGTCGCGTCGCGTTTTGCGTGTGTCGCCAATCCGTTCGTAATTTTCCAGGTTGCTAAATGCTGGTCAATATTGGCTTAGCTTCTCGGTGTTTAGATGTCAAAAAGTACTTTTTTTGCTATGGATTCTAATTATAGCAGGCGACTAATATATTTGAAGGGCCGCGACACGGGACGCGTAGCATTCGCGACCGAGTCCATTTTCTAAGGTAGTGGAGAAACGGTCAAGTGCGTTGCGTATCACGCGCTCGAATTCAAACGGAATACAATATTGAATCCATATTCGAGAGCACTGCCTTGCGCGTCCCTTTAAATGCCGCAATGCTGATTCTGTGGAAAAGCTAGCATTATTATGCAGAAAACCCATCCCTGAAAACAGTCCCTCGTTCCCAACATGGTCCCTTTGACCCAGGCGCCATCTAGGTACAAAAAATGCTCTTACTTTTTCACTCCGACTAGGCAAATTTCGCAATTTCCCTCAAAAGCGGAATGGTCTATCGCGACTTTGGCTAGTTAGCTTGTCGGAAAACGTGCATTGACGTAGTCACATTGCCGGGGGAAACACCAAAAATACCCCGGCCAGCCTCCGCGATAGAAAATCTCCATATTCTCCATGTCGGGAACGGTGGTCGATGAATGGTCCCGAGCGGCGGTGCGTGGAAAATCCTGCCCAACTCTCTGAAAAGAGGTTATCCCCCCACGCACATACTGACAACATTGTGAATCATCGTGTAGTTGGAGCATGTATATAAGCGTGGTGGTGGAGGGAATGATCACTGATTTTGATGGAATTTGGCTCGGGGAACTTTGACTTGAATAAGCTTGGCGTTCTGCGACCTCTGCTAGCTTGGGCTAAGGATAGAAACTTCCTCAACCTTCAATAGTAGTTCATTTTCCTGAAAGGTCTCTGCCAGCCTGCCCTTGAGACCTAAATTGATTTACATCAAGCCCTTTGCTAGTTTGCCTCAAATCCCCGCAAAAGTTCTCAAAGATCTCTGCTAGCGTATCATCCTTCAAGTTTCCGCGAAGAGTATCTTCTAGCTTCCTCCCGATACGGATATCTTTTTTTATCCTGGGGGTATAATCAACTCTGAACCCATCCATCTCTCCATAAAAAATGTTTCGCTACCCCGGAACGGGAAGCCGAACGGTTTTTATTTCTTTGTCTTTCCTCTATCAGGACCGGAAGTTTAACCGTTTCACAGTAAATCCAAGCGATTCGCACCTCGAACTTCTTCTCAAATCATTTTGCCTACCCATGTATTGCCAAATTTCGTAAACTTTTGATCCATTTATTTTCAGGCGGGTACGATGGTCGGCAGCGCTAATAAAGGCGGCATCTTTCAGTCCAAGACGCGATATGTCATCCTATTTTTGGGTAAGTGTTGCTACTTAGGCTTAGGCTTAGGTTTCTGCTTACGCTTAGGCTCAGGCTTCTGCTTAGGCTTAGGCTTAGTCTTTAACTTACTCTGCAAAAATTCAATTACACGTGTATAGGCTCCGCGTGTATCGCCTCGATTGCCTCCAACTACACGATACTCGGCTTCACCTATATTTGCATGAGCAATGTGACTGTGGTAAGTTAGAGAGAGAGAGAGAGAAAGAGAGAGAGAGAGAGAGCAAAAAAATTACTGTACCAATTTTAGGACGAAAATAACGCAACAGCCATGGCCACTCGTGGACAGTACGATTACACCCAGAAAGAAAAATCATTCCTCCATTGGTCGCTTGCCGTTGGAACATTGTTGGCAGCCTGGCCTTTTCAATGGTAATTTTTAGAGCATATTATTAAAGTACCGTAAATTATACGAAAAGCTTTTGGGCTTTCAGCTTAAAGACACAATAGGTACGTTTAAGATGTCGTGTTGTAATAAGTAACGAAATGGCCGTCATTAGTAGCATTTTGGAAGCGTAAATTTGTAGTGTACCGTATTTCTAGGCATTTTCAAGGAGCATTGAAGCCAAACCCATAGCTATATCTTTTAGGTTCTACCAAAAATACGGTGCCCGAGACGTCTTCTTCATAGCAGGAGTGATTTCTGCTCTGTCAACGTCGCTAATGCCGCTGATGGCGTCGATAGATTTTAAATACTTCTTGGCGATGCGGTTTTTACAAGTAAAAATAATTCTGCTCTGTATGATTACAGTATCATTAAATTGAGAATTATGCTATTTTATTTTAACAAGGATTGAATGCGTAATTTTTGCTTGATTTAGCTTATTTTTAAATACAAGATGAAATTCAGGGAATATCGTTCGGTGCTGACTTCGCGGCTATCGGTCTCATCGTCGTCCATTGGGCTTCCTTGAAACAGCACGGTTTCTTCATCTCCCTCTTGTCGTCGTTCTCCCAGATTTCCGTGATGTTTACGATGCCTGTTTCTGGATTGGTACGTTCTAATCAGGATCCAGAGCTTTTAAGAATTGTTTTGAAGAAATAGTGCCTCCAAGAATGGGCTCACCGAGCTTATCGCGACCTCAAAACGAGTGTGTTTCAGCTCTGCAACTCATCTTGGGGATGGCAAAGCGCGTACTACGTCCATGGCGCCTTGTGCATGTTCCTGTTCTCGCTTTGGTGGTGGTACTACCGTAACGACCCTGTTGACCACCCGAAAATGACGGAAGTCGAGCTCGAGAAGATTCAGCGCGGCAAGAAGGAGGAGGAGCTCGGGCAACATGAAGCTGTGCCAGTCGGGGTAAGAAATTCCAGATTGTTCTCTCTTTCTGCTTCTCTCTCCCTCTCTCTCCCCTCCATCTCTCTCTTCTAGTCTATCGCTTTGTCTTAGGCAATTCTCCGGGACCCCGTCGTTTGGAGCGTGTGGCTTTCAGCGTTCGGAGAGCTGATGATGTCCCAATTCATCGTCCTATACGGTCCGACTTTCATCAAGGAGGTATGGGTTTGCCTTCTACTTACCTTTAATTCAGCTATTTTAAGGCGATCTATTAATGCGTTTCTAGGTCCTCAACTTTTCGGTCGGAAAATCCGCCATGATGGTCGCTATGCCCCGATTCGTCCATCTCTGCTTCAAGATCATCTCCGGGCATTTGAGTGACAAGATTAAGTAAGAATTCTCGGAGCTTAGCTCACTCTCACTCTCTCTCTCGCCATCTCTCTCTCACACTCTCTCGCTTCATGCGTCCGAAATGACCCCAAATTTTTAGGTTCCTCTCCGAGAAGACCAAGATGATCATCTTCAACACGATCTCCCTGATGGTGTCCGGCTTCTTCTTCTGCGTTCTCGGCTTCATCCCCAAGGTACTGTTGTGTGGTTCTAAAGGAACGCTGAAGGAAAATAGTGCAGACTTTTGGCTAAAACATGGATTCCGAAATATACACTCCAATTTTTAGGAACAAGCCTTCTACAGTATCGTAATCCTCTTCATCATCGAGGCGACGACCGGATGTATTTGCGGTGGTTTCTACAAGTGTGCTACCCTCGTCGCAAGGTAAGGTTTAGCTTAGGCGTAGGCTTAGGCTTAGGCTTAGGCTTAGGCTTAGGCTTAGGCTTAGACTTGGGCTTAGACTTTGGACTAGGTTTCCTTCGATACCTCAGAATACCTTAAAACACCATACCATTCCAGACAACACTCCCACTTCGTGCTCTCTGCCATCCAATTCATCAAGTGCCTCTCCCTTTTCATCGAGCCCACCCTGATCTTCATCTTCTGCCGCAACAACACGCTAGCCGAGTGGCGAATCGTGTTCCTCATCCATGGCGGTCTCCTGATGGGCGGCAACATCATCTTCTGCTTCTTTGCTACCGACAAACCGGCAAAGTTCACCTACACGCAAGCCGACGAGACCGACGAGCTAAAGCAGGAGCCGGAGAAGCAGAGGTGCTACTAGAGAGCTAAATTATAAAATACATCTGATATCAAAAGTCACTAACCCCTTAAAATTATATATAAAATACGTAGCCATCTGAATTTCGTAAGAATCTAAAAATCCTATTTTTACGCTGCTTTCCGGTATACCCTTCCGGTTCTTTATGGTGCAATGACCGGCACCAGATTATCAGCTTTACTTGGAAAAATGCCAACTCTGAAATTATTCTGATGGCATTTTGACACTCACGGCTACAGTAATCTTTTGATTCGCTTAACAATTAAAGCACAAATTTCCTAACTACGGGTCTCATATTCTATTCCCAACAAGTATTGGTGACTCCCCCTCATCTGGTTGTGTGTATTCCCTCCTGGTCGCTTTGTTCTGCATCGAATAAACGAGAATACATGAAAATCATACAGAGAGCATCAGAAATTCAGAGAATCTTACGGTTGATGAACTTGTATTGGTTCTTTTGCGGTTGCGAAGCTCTAGAGAAAAATGCATAAGCTCTCGGAAGCTACTCAAATGCTTTTGATAAATTTTTATAAATTCACATAAATAAGATTTTTCCTACCAAATTTTGTTGGAGCCAGTTGGGTTTGATCGAATTTTTGAAGCTCCCAACCTTAATCCAAGGAAATCTAGTTTACTGTTCGATACCTGGCAGTGGGACTATTTTGAAGATACCACCAGCTTTTTTCGGCATTTTAATGACGCGATTTGAAGGTTACGCTGCGCGACCTGTCCTAAACCAATTTATTTCTTTCGCTGGGTGAATTCATTTAGTCGGACTTATAAAACTTTTCCAAAATCAGCTTCTGAATTATTTGTTTTTCCCGTACACCGTCGGTGTGGAGAATTTCTACAATGAAGTCTTAATTAAGCCGACAATTGCAATACTTCAAATATCCAGTGTCCTAAAATTCGCTAAATTACAGACAAACGTCACAATTCCCCGTCTTTTTACTTATAACATTTTTCTTATACCCTGCACAAAATACTTTTATTTATTCGCTAACGGCATCATGTCCCAGAAATCCGCTTAGCTTTACTCCCGAGTCTGAAGCTTCTAGCCCAATCAAAAAGGACTTGATGTGGAAAAACAAACCTTTAATGCTAACTCATGTTAAACCTGACTAATAAACCAATTACATAAAAATTGAAACTACCCCTAAATTCGCGAAAATACCTCAATTTCAGACTCACCGACGCGCCACACGAATAGACGTAACTTGGCTGCATTAAAAAGCCCCATACAACGATTGCCGACTAGCATAATTAGACGATTCTGCATAATATTGTATTCCCTCTATTTTGATAGCGTAATTGAATTTTATCGCATAATCCCAGTTATTTTCACTTGTGATCTTCTCCTGTGAACCGACATTCCGCGACTATACCCCGTTTCGCATCTCACATCATTCCATGGACAATGAGGATAAATTTTGGATTGAGAAACTGGTTTTAACAAAAAAAACACTAAGAAATAGAAGATCCGGCAAAATCGACCTAATCAGTCTCTTTAAGTTGATATTTGCGCTGGTTAGTAGCTTTGTGTAGTTTAGGGTCATCTATTTTGGAAGCAGTATTTTTCAAGCAGACTTTTCTAGTTTTCTATAATAAGCAGTCCTTTTTTAAACTTTTCCTCGGGTTCTTTGACTCATTTTCAGTCCTTTTTCAGAGCTTTTTCTAGGTTCTTTAACCATCTCC